ATACGACTTTATGTCTTTATCTATAATATAGCAATATCGATATAGTAGGTTCGCCGATGTACGTAGGTACCACTGCATTTTAAGTGTGTTCATATTTTCCTGGTAATACCAAGAATAATAATTTTGTTGAGGTAATATTAACATAATAATATAGGTAACCCATCTACGACTTCGTCGCACGGAAAACTGTATTACATGTATACCGTTAAACTCAAAGATCCGACGACGAAAACAAGAGTGAAATAGGAGTACCTATAGAAATAATCATTAGGGAATAATAATAATTATGTGTAATATAATATGATGTTAACATTTAATAGTCGCTAGTAAAAATTTAAATTATACTGATTTTAAAAATCAATTCATTCATTTGTTTTTTGTACAAGTATTTGTATAGGTATCTACTACCATAATAATTATCTCTTTTCTAATTTTTTTCACATGGTTTTGTTGCTTTGTTTAATAATTGTATGTATGTATCGGAAGAGTGTCAACAAGTATAAACATATTTGAATGTCCCGAGCGAAATATACATTTAGTTTTGTATGGAAACTTTTATAAGTTGGTGGTACGATTAGTGCTTGCTGTAAAATCACTTCAAATTTTTTTTTCTGGGGGGGGGGAGGAACTATGCAGCATCATTTTAGCGTAATTATTTAAAGCTATATAATATAGATAGTTATGATATATCATCCATACGGACTCAATTCAAAAATATTAGGATAATAAACTGGAATAGATTCAAACGTCATAAAAGTAGCTCATGGACTCAATTCAATGTTATCCAATAACACATATTGAGACATGTCATTATAACTCTAGGACGGTGCCGCTATAGACAATATCGCGAGTCGGCCGCTGCCGCAGCGACCGGACACCACAAAGTCGTTTCGCTCCGCGTGTTCGCCGTAGTGTTTACAACGTCCGTGGGCGCTCACGAATGCGCCGTTCCCGTGGTCAGCGGCCGAGGGGGTAGTGGGTGGATGCGGAGGGGATGCTGCGGTGCTAATCTCAGCGGTTCAATTTCGTTTCAATTAAAACGTAATGCCGCCCGTAATTAAAAGCCAACAAAAATGGCGGCGGCGGACGACGGGGCGAAGCGCATTGCTTCGATTTCAATATAATAGTATCTTATCTTTTAGCAAATTGGATCAAGATGGTAGGTACTTTAAAGAGGTCATTTTTCGACTTTCTCAATAGTTATTAATTAATGCCGCGGGAAAAACCACCGACAAATTGCGAAAAACCGCTATAAATTGGATTTTAATTTCGAACGCTTTGTTTATCACCTTAAGAAACCGAATTAAAAATCGTCACGAATTTAAATACTAATACAATTCACAGGCTATAATAAATAATAAAAATATCCAGACAAACCGTCTTCACTCAGAATCGTATTTCGTATACAATGATATTATTATATTATCATTGGATTTAAATTTAATACAATCCATCATACAGTGACTCACTTGTAACCTTCTGTACAGCAGAGCCACATCCACTTACTTGCTTTTTTTTATATATTTTTATTATTATGTACACATTGGCATCCATAAGAAATAAAATATTCACATAACCAAATGTTTTTTTTATACCTAATTTCGTTGGCTGAAAATAAAATATAACGTTCAAACATGTAACCATGAAGATACCGCCGACCGTTTGGTATCAACGGAGAAATACACAAGATACATAATTATTAATTTAGTTTAAATTTGTTCGAAATTCCAAATAAGTTCTTATAATTTTAGTTCAATATATTAAATACAATTATTGAACATTTTGCAATATCACGCCTACGCCACCCTACGGAAGGGACTGCAAGCATAAATGCAAAATCAATTACCTACCTATGGTTACGATGATCAGAAAAATCGTGAAAGCTGGCCATCTCAAAGGTAAGTGAGTATTATAATTGTAATTAAAGTAATTTCTTTAAAATATGTACCTAAGGTATAACTACTTTTTTGTGGCATAAATTCAGTTTAGCTGCCAAGCGATTTTAGGGAAATCTATGTAGGCACCTATTTCAATGAGTTAAGAACAATGGTGCTATCGAAATTTTCTGTCGGACTTATTAGTTTAAAATGTAGAGCTTTTTGAAATCCGTGAGTTACCGTATTCCCATGTATTTTTTTCAAATTAAATTAAATTACCCAATAATAAAATAAAAAATAAGTATATGATATGTAATTTCCGATTCGACCAATACCTATGTTCAGGATGTAAAAACTCAAATTTTCAACAAAAAATCGCTTAGAAACTAAACTGCATTTGTTCCAATATTTGATATTTTTATCCATTAGCTAACTCTTTTGTAAATCGTTAGGAAAGTCAATGTTAAATAAAGAAAAAAAAGTAAATAGCCATAAGTAAAATTAAAATGATTACAAAGATTTCTTTATGAATTATGGGTAATGCCTAACTAATAAGACTTTAATATTATTTTTACTTATACAGTAAACACATTTTACTGTACACTACATAAGTATATTGAATTCTTGAAGTAGGTAATTTAGTAGTTATGATGTAGTATATACATACTGATACTATACCTATAAAGTATAAAAATAAAATAGAAAATGAAAAAAAAATATTTTTATTTATTTATTATTATCTATTGCATTTTTTCTGATTGTAATTTAATTACCTAATAAAAACAGTCTAGATACATTTATAAGTTAAATTTTATAGGTTAATAATAACCGTCTCCTAGATTGGAGATTTGAAAATAAAGTAATAATTTCTTAAAAATCGGCTTTACGCACTTGTTATTTAAGATTATATTGTCATTAATGCTAACCCAAAACATCTTTCTATTGGTATTAGATTTTTGCACATTCAAAATTGGCTCTCTAGTAGCATTGAGTTGTCCATCTCTGGTATAGGTCATCATTAGGATTTAGGGCATAGAACTATAGAAAGTCGGATGAGCTAAAATTGACAAACATTTAAATATGCAATCAATTCCATAAATCGTTTCACCTTTTAAGTTACAGTACCTACCGTCGAAGGTATAAAACATACCCACCTAATAACAAAAAATTATTAATTCTATCAAAATTCATAACTTAAATAAATAAAATCACTACCTAATACATATAGCGAAAAAGATAATGATATGATTTTTTAACCTATATAACATTATATTATACCTATATTCACGTAATGACATATAGGTAGTATAACGCAAATTCAGTCAAATTGAATCACAGATAATTGAGCGAAGTCAAAATATTGCGATATTTGTTATAAGCGTGAATCTGCGTAAAAATAATATAATAATAAAAATACTAAAAGGTACGTACCTAACTCATTGTTGCTGGCTGAAAATAAATAAACACTCAAACACGATAACCGCGGATACTATAGCAGGTCATCGGTATATCGAATTATAAACAAATTTAATTATTAATTTAGATAAAAAAAAACGGTGTGCACTATATTTAACAATTTTTCTTTTTGGAATTATTTTGTGTCGATTTCTATAGTACCTATTTCCAAAATAAACTACAACCGAAAGCGATCACGTTATGATGGAGGTGATGTTCCATACATCAGAAAACTGTCAAATATCCAGGAAGTCGTATAGGTAAGACTAATAACGAAATTATTAAATCCGGCGATATTGATCATTGTACAAATTATTGACCTATATGGCTAAATCCCACTATTTCTTTCCATAATCCAAAATATTTGCAAAACGATAAAAACAACTTTTGGTTGATTTTTCGAATATACATAACTTTTTTTCTACAAACCAATTTGGATTTTGGAAAAATAAATCAACAAAATTTGCACTGTTATTAGCTTCGAATTTTATTCATTCTAGTAGATGTTGACAATGACAATAATTAGGTAGGTAATTGGTTTGTATTCAGATTAAAAAAATTCTTTACATAAAAAAATATTAAAATATTAATGTGGTATTATTGGTATTGCTCAACTTGTGAAAATCGAGGAACAGACGTCTTGTTATTTTTTATTTACATAAAATATAGTGTGATATCAATCCTAATATTTCAGGAGATATTTGTTTTGCTGACGATACTTTATTTATAAATTATAGTTTAAATTGAACATAAAATAAATTGATGGATATTGTGTTATTTAGTGAATCAATGTACCTATTAATAATATAAAAAATTGGTTACATAAACATTTTTTAGAACTGAATATTAAAAAATCAAAATATATGTTTTTAGTATAAATAAGTAAAAATTTTGATTAAAAAATATCACCGTACATAATTTCAGATACTTGAATAATTTATAAATTACTTTTTAATGTGAAAAAGTTACTAAATTAAAATATTTAGGTATTTGTTTTTGATCAAAACCAAATGGGTATAAGGTAGGTACTTATTATGTTTGTAATTTAATTAGAAAACTATTTTATAAATCCAAAGTATAATCCGAGTACAAATGTAAAATAATAATTTACAGTTTATCATTTATATAATACTAGGCATAAAATGAAATCAATTATCAGACATACATTTATTCAACAGGGTCCGATTAATATTTTGGTGTTAAATTATGTAAATATTTTTAATTTGATTTAAGAAAATTTAAATAATTTGAACATTTTTAATTTTATATAAATTTTTTTTTACTTTATGATTATTCTATGTACCTAGTATAGTTAGAATATTCAACAATTAGTTTAAAATTTTTTGTTTTATTAGGATGTTATATATTTATAAAATTTAATTGAACTTACTAAACTAACTTTCATTCTTAAAAACTTAGAAGTCCCAGATAAAGAAAAAAAAATTATTTTTGTGTATGCAGCGTATTCACAAATAAATAAATAACATTATCTCCCCCGACGGGACCCACCTTGCCGTGGTGGGGGGGCTCACGGGCCAATCACTGGTCCGTGCCAAGAGGTTCCACCCTAGAGCCAGCCATGACCTTGATTGGTTGTGGCTGGCAGGCCCGATCCACCTGCAAACGGATCCCTGCCAGCAGGTAAAATGGACGGAAGGAAACCACAATATGAATAGCAAAAGTAAAAATATTGTTACAACTCCAGGGGGACAGGACCACCAGGAGTCGTTGGCAGTAGGTGGATCTGGTGTAAAATTCAGGTCCAACGGAGCGGGCTTGCTACTTTCGTTACCAGTCAACCGTGACCAATCGGATGAAGGGGTGTCCAGCATGGCCCCGGATTCCGACAATAATGCTTCTGCTGAGACAGACGTGCCTCTAGGTACGCACCCAAGAGATATGACGTCATATATTATACATCATAGAGTATGAGAAAAATTATGCCTGAAAGTCGAAGACACTATATTAATAAAAATCAATTTGGACTTATTTAAGGCCTATGATACCGGTGAGAACGTAGCTGTAGCTACCAATCTGACCTTACCTGACTACAAGCGAAAACGATCATCGTATGAAGATGATAACCATAATAGAAATTTTTCTCGAACCTCAAGAGCCGCACTCGATATCCATCATGTCATCGGTAAGTTCCTAATACACATCAACGACCCTAGACATAGTAACAAAATATACAAATATCTATACAGTCGACATCAGTGCTAAACTATTTTAGAGCCTAACGAAAGCGATGATTGTATTGATTTTACAATGGTGTATGCTGTGTTGAGAATAGATAAAAAAAACATTTAATATCGAGTTTAATATAGATAAGACACAAATAATTATATATAGATATATTTATCAAGATTTCTAGATACAGACCAGGTTTTTAGGTAATACGGTAGATAAAAGTAATTTTTATTATTATATTTAAATAACTAATTTATTTATTTACCTATAATAATTGGACAGAATAATTGTTCTGATAGGTAGAACAATTTAAAAAATAAAGAATATTATTTATGAAAAATGAATATGATATAAATAAATTGTAGGTACCTAGATAAGTAAATATATCATTTAATATAACCAATAGATAAATTTATTCAAAATAATTCTTCGATGTTCAATTTATATTCTGTACGTTGTGAGTTCGTGATTTTTTACGTCACCAAAACCACCCATGAGGAAAGGGGAACACTTTCCTCATGACCTGTGAGCCGCACCGCGTGAGACCCGAGGGTCAAGTCGGTGGAACTCACAGGCTTTGATACACGCATTGGCGATTGAACGAATCAATCAATCAATCAATTTGAAGATTTATGTTGGGAGACTGAGAGAGAAAAAAAATATAAGTTAATTAAAATAAATAATAAGAGTAGTATTAGGGTAATCACGTGGATGTATTTTACAGGTTTTTCTATTGTAGATAATTTAAATAAAGATTTTAACATTTTTCTTTTTAACAAAATAATATATAAATTGGCGCATACAAAAATATAATAGGGAATAGGAAAACTTGATAAACTTTAAGAGCATGTCGCAAACAATTGTTTGAGTAACGAAGTTCACGTGTTTTTTCCGGCCCACGGGAGGCGACACATCATATTTCTCATGATGTGTCCTCGCAGGGTTACCGGAAAAAATAAGGCGCTTCGCACAGAGTGTGAGGCACAAGGTGTTCGTGTTATTTATTTTTGGGGCTCAGGTGAGCGGCTTGCGACAACTAAGTAAAATGAAAAAAAAAGAACAAAAAAGAGGACCCGCGTCTTGCGACGCCGATAAATCGTGCTTTTACAAGGGGGGGGGGACAGAAGGGAAAGAATAATTACGACTTTTGAGCTGCACATGGTTGTTGTCGACGTGGTGTTGGCTCCGCCCGCCTCGGGCCCATAGTGGTTGGCTTAGCCCATCATTTTGGCTATTGACCGGGTTGACAACGTGGAAAGACGAAATACACCGGGACCCAACGTGGTATTGTGGGCGATGACTTGGCTCACGAGGTATCCGGCAGGCAGTCGGCAGCTCTTAACAAAAGTGCGGATGAAAACGTCTGCCGTTGTCACTTGTCGCCGTTGAAAAACGAAGAACGAACTACGAAGTGTCGAGCGGTCGGCGACGGTGATTTGCCGTAGGCCGTCGACGGAACTTGGTGCTTCTTTTGTGTAGTGGGGCAGGTCAGTGTCGTACTTTTGCGGGATTATTACTCCCACAAATCCCGCAAAAGTACGACACTGACCTGCCCCACTACACAAATACAGTATTGCCTGCGGGCCGTGCCGGCGGACGCGACGAAAGCGCTGGTGGCGACGGGTGGCGGGCAACCGCGGCACGTCGACGACGAACACTGCATGATGAAGGGGGGGAACGGGGAACATTTATTGCATAACACTGCGGTCATTTGTGCATTAGCGCGTGATATCTACGTTTTATTACTAATGTTTATAGGACTAAAGGTGCGTTGACTTGTCAACAACGTTAGCAATAGGTGTGTTCGGTGAATGTTATTATGATTTATAAGGCTGAAAATTCCGTGACGTTACAACGTATAGGTATCATCTCTGGTGCAAAAGTGAATCTGGTTAGTGCATTACTGCATTTGGGAGATCAAAATTTAAAATTCCTAGTAGTTTTCTACATCGTGGGGAAAATTTTTTTTTAAAAACGAGAATATCTACTCGAAATTTATTTTGGTTTTTGGTGCAACTATAAAAAAATAAGCATAGCATTATACATTAGATACACTGTACATTTATATTAGCATTTTGCATACACCATACAATTTTCGAAATATGTAGGCTCGTTTCTAGTTATTTATAGATATATATTGAATTTTCAATTTGTTTAGTTCATTTTTTTCTTTAAATGTAAATACAACTTTTTCGTTTGCTCGAAAATATAACACAAAGTTCATATAATAGCAGTAAAGAACAATTTTGAAGTTTTGACGTTGACAACATTTACAAAAATCTTGAAAATTAACAATTTATTTTGTAGTTAAAAATGTATAAAATGTTCAATGTTTATAGCTAAAGATTGTAAATTTGAAACAAGTATTCTCATAAATAGTTCACACTGCTACCAACAAATTTAAAAAATATATACACAGTTTTTTTGTTGTATATACATTTTAAGTTTAAATTTGGACGAAATTAGATATTTAAACGAAGAACAAGGATTTTATAGTTTTAATTCTAGAACTCAGATTTATATGCATTTGCATCTTTGTTCTTGTTGATTGTATGATATGCTAAGTGAGCACTCAATTTGTTTCTTGGCATAAGGAACGCATAACGGTTTCAAAAATTGAACTTTTTAGAGCAAAGTTTTATCTATTTAAGGGCTTATTTTAGAATTTTAATTGCACATTTCATCTCATAGCGCATATTTGGATGCTTTATTAGACATTTTTGAAATATATACTATTATTGTAATATAAAAAAAAAATATTATACTTTTATTGTTTCAATTAATATCAAAATAAATTAATGGATACCTATAATACTTGTAGATATATTCGGTTTTCAAAAAGATGATCTTAGATCAATAATCAGTGAAATAAAAAACGTAGGTAACCACGAGAAGAAAATATCAATTAGGACGACCATTGACCATTGACATTATTTAAAAAAAAAAAAAAAAAAATGAAGAAAAGTAGGTATTTATAGTAGTGTTCTATGATTTTAAATATATTGTTTTAATTAAACTTTCAAAAAATAAATTTTTTTGCTAAATTTTTTATGCATAATTTTTATCTTTAATGCATATTTTAACACTTTATTGCATATATTTATGCATATTTAAGATTTTTTAGCTCTTACTTTTTTTGATTTTTAATGCTTAAAATCCGCGCTCCAGTTATAACTTATTTTGTTGTTATTAAATATTATATTATTCTCGAGTACTTGAAACTTTTAAGTATATTATTAAATTGTATATACACAATAACATTTTAAAATGCAAATTTTCACTAAAAATTAATTTTGCCTATTGTCAGGGCCGGATTTAGGGGGGGCCCAGGGGGCCCCGGGCCCCGGGCCTCCGCAAATTGAGGGCCCCCACTAAATGTTTTTTTTTACATCCAAGTATATTGTATAAAACACAATATAACATTTTCAAAACGGATTTAAATCACAACATGAATAAAAATATTCAATCATTTATATTGTCATAAATTTATAAATAAATGTTATTATTAATATTTAATAACTAATGAATTTATAGAAGGAGTAGCTAGCTTACAAATGTGAATTTAAAATCGATTATTATGTTATTATGTTATTATTATCTTGTAGACTTGTAGATATTTTAATTAAAAACAGTTATAAATAAACACATATTATAACTTGTATAGCAAGCCGTCCGCTGTGGACTATTATAAATAAATGCGTGCTGAATAAGTTCTAAATAAAAACAAATAGATGGTACACTCAGTTTTCACGCTTCAACCATAAAGTATATTTTGATAGTGATATTTATCCAGGTTAGTACAATGTATTTTTTATTAAATTAAATTTAGTAATTCGACGACTTTCAATCAAGGGGGCTGCTGTCTATGTAAAAAAGTGGCATTTAGACCAAAAATCTAGACAAAACTATAGTAATTTGGTTTGACAGATTTCAATTTTGAAAACGGATTAAGATTAATTAACGAGATAACCTACTAGGTTTTTATCGTGGTGATTTTTAATATTCCGAAAATTGTTAGTGTCACGATTAAAAATATAAATAAAAAATATCGTTTTTTATATTTATTGATTGCACAGCTGGAAAAATAGATTTTCAAAATCACCTCGATAAAAACCTAGTTATAATTTAATAATCTATAATATAATAGTTTAATAACAACTTGTTCCTGCACGTACGATAGTAGTTAAGAGCCGTCACTGTAGGTAGAAAAAAATAGATCGTAAAAACATGTTTTCGTAGTTCCAATAGTACTCAGGCCTTGTAAGTCGTAGAAACATAGTTTTTATACCAAATTAAACACGAGAAGTTTATCTAATAACTGTTGGAATATATTTTTTAAATTTGTTTTCAAATTTTATTTGTGTTTGAAAAATTTGTAAAAAAATTAAGTGTCCGTCGAATATAACTGACTGTCCGACCAGGCGATAAATCATTGTTTTTTCATAACCAAAATTCTGGTTATTAAATATATTATGTACTTAATCGAAAAAAATATCTACTTCTAAAGGTGGGCCCAGGGCCACCACATTCCTAAATCCGGCCCTGCCTATTGGCTATTGTATTACCACTATAAGGTCCAATAATTAAATAAATTAGGTACATTAACCACAATAAAACCATAAAATATACTTAGTAATTGATATATCATTTGATTATTCAATTTTGTTAATTCTACTAAAATCAAAACAGACCTTCTTTCACTTCTTAATAACTGCATTGCCAATATCATATCTAGACATCATGCCGAACGATAATGTGTCAAATAGTAATGACAAGACAACTATTGTTCAAACGGTTGAAAAGTTTAATGTCTCAAACACTAGAAAAAGTGTACCACCTGAGGATAGCGAAAAAAAGATTAAAAACATAACAAAGGACAATTATTATTTCATTCGGTATTTATGAATATATTATAATTTTTACAGGGAAAGTATGGAAAACCACCCATCAAAGGATCGATGTACGCACTCGATGTGCCGGAAGACGGTAATGTCACTTAAGCTCCTTACGTAAAAAAAGTAATAAAGGTCAATTAATATTTCTTTTAGTATATATTATATATTTTAGTATTAATATATCTTAATTTTTACAGAGAAAGTATGGAAAACCGCCCATTAAAAGAACGATATATATACACGATTTCAAGGAAGACAGTAATGTCCCCTGTTCACTGCCTAGAGCTGCAGGGATAAAAAGGAAAAGGGTACAAACTGATGCTGGCGCCAGGACATTTGAAAAAGTAATAAAGATAAATTATTATTTCTTTCAGTATGTATTTATCGATATATTATATTATTGTAATTTTAATACTTACACAGCTGAATATTATTAATGTTTCTAGTATTATATGATCAAAATCTTCTAAGTTTTCAAATTATGTTTTTTTGCTTATAGGTATATTCTATCAACCGTCAGATAAGATCCTACAATGATTTTTCTGGTTACTGTACTTAACAAAATGTCATTCAAACATTTTTTAACCAATCAAATGAATATTATAATATTGTTATAAAGAATGGCCAATTTGGCCAACCATTGTGGGTAATATGGCCAAATTGTAGTTTTTTTTTATACTGACAATTAACATATTGTAAATAATTGAAAATTAAAGTGGCTAGTTCACTACTCTTCACCTACTGCATACCTAACAAATCATCAAATTATTTTCACTATAGCCCCAAAAATCATCTAGTTTTCGACTTCATATTATGATTCTTATTCATCCGAATATCAAATTCATTTAATACCATATCAACGGTAATATTAAACAATATTAACTCTTTCTCCTGCAAAAAAATGTAAAAAAATTAAGAAGAAATTAAACAATAGGACCACACATTAAAGAGTCAAACTAAAATGTTTAGAATCTTAAACAGGAAAAAATCATTCAAAATGATTAGTTTATTAAAGAAACATTATTCATAGGGCCCCTGCAGGTTATCAATGTTCATGTCTATAAAAATATTTCAAGTAGACTTAAGTTCATAAAAAAAAAAATTGAAGGGGAGTGTTGGCGCCCGCAGGCAAATGCGTTTTAGAAAACAAAAAAAAAAAAATTAGAAATTAAACAATAGGACCACACATTAAAGAGTCAAACTATAAAATGTCCAGAATCTTAAACAGGAAAAAACCATTCAAAATGATAAGTTCATTAAAGAAAGATGATTCATAGGGCCAATGCAGGTTATAAATGTTCAAGTCTCTAAACATTTTTCTAATATACTTAAATTCTTAAAAAAAAAATTGAAGGGGAGTGTTGGCGCCCGCAGGCAATTACATTTTAGAAAACCAAAAAAAAATTTAGAAAAAATTATACAGTAGGAAAACACATTAAAGAGTTCAAACTAAAATGTCCAGAATCCAAAACAGAAAAAACAATATTGCCAATGATTAGCTCATTAAAGAATGATGATACAGAGGGCACCTGCAGGTAATCAATAAACAAGTCTGTGCAAAAAATTTAACTAGAGTCAAATTACCAAAAAAAAAAATTGAAGGGGAGTGTTGGCGCCCGCAGGCAAATGCGTTTTAGAAAACAAAAAAAAAAAATTAGAAATTAAACAATAGGACCACACATTAAAGAGTCAAACTATAAAATGTCCAGAATCTTAAACAGGAAAAAACCATTCAAAATGATAAGTTCATTAAAGAAAGATGATTCATAGGGCCAATGCAGGTTTTAAATGTTCAAGTCTCTAAACATTTTTCTAATATACTTAAATTCTTTAAAAAAAAAATTGAAGGGGAGTGTTGGCGCTCGCAGGCAATTGCATTTTAGAAAAACAAAAAAATATTTAAAAAAATTACACAGTAGGAAAACACATTAAAGAGTTCAAACTAAAATGTCCAGAATCTAAAACAGAAAAAACAATATTGCCAATGATTAGCTCAATAAAGAATGATGATACAGAGGGCACCTGCAGGTAATCAATAAACAAGTCTGTGCAAAAAATTCAACTAGAGTCAAATTCCAAAAAAAAAAATTGAAGGAGAGTGTTGAGAAAATATTTCAAGCATTGAAGCTGTACAATATTATGGACCGTTTTGTTACGAAAAAAATTCGTCTAGATTTGGCAGCGGTGGAAACTGAAGAAAATGTTGACGATCCACATTCAACAATTAACCAACTACCAAGCTCCTCTTGAAGCCCCTAGTTTTAAATACTTGTTTAATGATTTTTATAAAGTATTAAACGTGGAAGGTAAAAAATTGTCAGTTATATGTCAAAACTGCCAAAAAGTTGTAAATGGATCAACTAATTCAAGTGGAAACTTTTTAAGCCACATTAAAGTAAGTTTTTGTATTTATTACTACATTTATACATTGTTATTTTAGGATTATTATAGAATTTTATTAGTTAATTATCACAGTTTTTAATATTTTTTTTTTGCATTCAACACAATGTATCAAATGTACCTATATATAATATGTATTTTATACATGTAGTATATAATATAGTATAGTTTATAGTACTATAGTAGGTGGTACCGCTAAATTTTCACCGGTCCCCCTGCAATTACATGTGAATGGGCTGTGTACTGTGAGCTGAAATAAGTATAATTGTAAATTTCCCGTACCGGTTATTACAAGATGGGGAACTCAATGTATGATGCAGCAAAAAAAATATTATTTTATAAATAAAAATTGATTCCCGTATTTGAAGAACTGAAATTAAATAAGTTAAAAACGACTGAGTGGCTGTTTCTCAAAGAGTATTGTGAAGTTATGAAGCCATTAGCATCTGCGCTGGACAAACTACAAGGAGAAAAAAAAAGTTATCTAGGATATGTGGCTCCAACAATCTTGTCCATAAGACTTTTATTATTAAACTCAACAAATAGAGTATATTGTAAACCATTAAGTTTATGCATAATTCAAAATCTAGAAAAACGATTTGGTTATTTATTTAACTTAAGCAGTTCCAACTGTTCCAAGAGTAAAGCATTTATTATAGCATCAATAAGCCACCCAAAATTTAAAATGAACTGGGTACCAATAAGATATAAAAGTTTGTGCAGAAAGTTATTTGTCAGTGAATGTAATACATTAAGTGCTGTTATTAATTCATGTCCAAATTCTGGTTCATCTAGTGAAGAAAATGACGAGAGTGATGATGACGAATTTTATAACAATTTACTAGAAAACAGCTTTTCAAAAAATTTCGTTAATGATAAATCAAATGAGTCTGAATGCTCCACTGACAGAAGAAGCACAAATTTAGCTGGAATTCAAAGTTCATCATTTCTTAACTAAAAAAAAAAAGATTTGGCCATGTTAGATTCTTTTTGTATTGTAAAAATTTTTTTTTGGTATACCAATTTTAATTATCATTTATCAATTTAAACAGTTTTTAATAAACGAGTTTTCATTCAGTATTTTTTCAAATTTAAGTGCATATTTTTTAATACTTCAGTGTATATTTTAAATCATATTTTGCTTGTTTTTAGTGCATACATGTGTAATATTTAACACTTTTTTTAATGAATTAATTTCACAGCCCTGCTAATTACATTTACTTCCAATCATACCTACCACAGTTAATGTTAAATGTTAAATTGTCAACAATCAACGAGTTCTTCAACTTGATAACACTTATAAGGGATGTCAGATTTTTAGTGCACCATTAATTTCTCTCTCTGACCCACGCACAATCATATTTACGTTTAACAGAATCAACCAGAGCCGGTTCAAGGACTATAATAAATATATATTTATAAGTAATTTATAGTTGATAGGCCAACCTAAACTCCCAATCATAAATATTTTTTTTTGCTTTACTGTTCAAAATTTAATACCAAAAAAATTTAGATTTTCTTTACTTTTTTAATAAAATAGAATTTGTTTATGTTGAATATATTATATAATTGTAAAAAATCTTATAATATTATATTTTAAAATTATTCTTGTATATAATTTAAATATTATTAAAAACGAAAATTAGTTACTTATATGATTAGTGACTATATAACGAAAACTGATAAGTTTAAAAAATGTTAATGAACTATTTTATTTTTCGGCTAGGTAATAATGATCGCCTTACCCGTACGCTAGAAATCACTGGGATAGTATTGTTACTTTTAATATTAGATTGAATATTAACCTATTATCAAACTTGAATATTTTAACCCTTTCACTGTTGAATTAATTTTTTCCTGGGATAACATTTTAGTTTTCATTTATTTTTTTCGTATTGCATATATTGTTATACTTTAAGTATTAATAATGAATATATAGATATTTTTATTTTTTAGTAGATTAATTATAATTTTTTTTTTCTTTAGATTTGTCGAACCGTTTATAATCATATTTAAACTGTAATTATTTAGACGATCATAAGTCATAACTTATATGATAATTAAAATATCATCAAGTAACCAACGTAACGACGTATGTAATCTTCTTAACTTAATATTTTTAATCTAACATATTAAAAGTAGGTAACAACTCCGTTTTGGTTCTGTTATTCGTACATTAGGTATGCTACGTGTGGATCAAAGATGGAAAGCAAATAATGCGCTGACCATAGATATACAGGGCCGTATTAAGGGACCTCAGCTAAGCCCCCAGCCCCCTCTAGTTGCGCTTATGTGGCCTGGGCTTTTAAAATCAGAGTATGGGGGACAGGGCTGGGATTTCATATTATGAATTGAAATATTTGTGGACACTGGATGACCAAAAGGACTACCCTCCATATCATGTTTCAATAACTAATAAGTACAAAATAAAATTAATTGAATACGTTCTAAAGTTGCTCCAAAGCTCGACATTATCCGAGTATTTTTAAAAACCATGAAGCTAAAAAAAATCATTAAAATTGTTTTTTTTTAAAAAACCTTTCATCGGCATGTGTCGCCTACAAGTGTGTCTTACAAGTGTGAAAGATATCACTTTTTCATTCAGTAGCCCGTTCAATAGTTATCATTATAGGCATCAATAGTTTTAAAAATATTAATCACTCTAATATTAAAACTAACAAAGATTAAAGATTACATTTAAAAATTTAATTAAGATCTGCTGAAATTGATACCTACTTGCAAGACGGGAGAATAGATGCTGATAAATCATGAATTAAATATGTATTAAATCATTAATAGATACTTATTACTTTTACAATCTATATCCAATCATACTTCCAAGTTGTGATCACAGTCTTATTGTGTCAACTTTGAATCATATACTATGAATGGGTCCACATCCCGATAATTTTGAGCACATATTAATGACAAGTCTCTGACTCTGATAGATGTGAGAAGAGAAATGTCTCATATATATCGATGCGAATTGGTATGTATCAATAAAAACGTCAGAGACTCGTTGATCGCTTAATTCAGTATAAGCCTTTTTTTTACAACTAAATAACCAAAACAAAAATGTATCGCTACGCTCTAAGTTCTAACAAACATTATACAATATACTTACAAAAAAACTAAATGCTTATAATCTAGGTACCTACTCATTAGTTATCTACTCATGCTACACCTAAGCAGGTATTGTATTTTACAATATATTTAAACACAAGATCCGGATACAATTTATACAAATTAATAAATTATTACATACACAATATGTCTACGTTTCAATATTCATTTCAAACTCATGTCTCTTATATAATATATGGTATATTCTAAACCTATACCTATGAATTATTGTAATGATAAACGACTAAGGAAATAGGTATAGGTAATATGTCTAAAATTTTAAATATTATATAACACTAACATTATCCTAAAAACTGACCAAGTTCAAAACTTTCGTTATTTCTTGTATAAATAAATAGTAAAGATACAAATAGATAGGAATATAATAGATATAATAGATAACAAGCTACATAGTCTCAGTAGTCAGTACTGCAATATAATGGTAAGTGGCAATATCGTATAATTCTGGCAGTTCGGTGCCCCGGCGGCTATTACGTGTCAATATATTTAGTGAATAGTGATAATATTAAAAATAGTTCAATTAGTACATAGGTACTAGGTTATTACGAAAACAAGGTCCACAAACAGCGTTCTCTTCCAATAAGTAGACCTTAGTTCTAATATTAGATTCCATTACGATTTTAGATATTCCGACAATTGACATCGCAAATTCGAACAAAAAAAAATTATTATTTATTCTATTAAATATTTTATTTTTATTATATTACAAACGACATTTTTTTGCCACCCTTCATTATTTGGCCATCCCTGCCGCCTGGAGCAACTGCTCCTTTTGCCCCCCCTCCCCCGAATTCCCGGTTGGGATGTCATCGCCATAGATATATACAACAACTAGATAGCCGTCTTTATATTACAGTTGTGACCAATGTTGAAATCGGCAGCCATTTATAAAGCAGGCAATGTTTACATTTATTTATATACATATTATATATTTATCGATACATATATACTATGATAATATTATTTTGTAAACATTGCCTGCTTTATAAATGGGGGGTCGACTTCGATGACAAAAAGGAGACGGCTATATCTAGATGTTGAATATATCTATGGTTAAAAGTTGTAGGCAATAATATATCCCCTGATCAATTAACAAAAATAAAAAGAAACATACTGAAAAATAAGAAAATACATACCCCGCACCGTGGTGAATCAAAATCTGCTATAAAACTTGGTCTTCGAAACACTGCAACCTCCTCATATTTCAGTCTGCTTATGATATATTTTATTCCCAGCTAACAAATCTTCACTGACGAATTAAATACCATTTCTGAAATAACACGCAGCCTGCAGTAAAATGTTCAACAATATTCTTATGACCTAAGCGTCACGGATATTATATTTTATATGTATAATGTTTAATTTGTATTACACCTACCTAACTATTAAACTATTATGTGTTAGCAAGCCCAGATTAAGGATCAATTGGGCCCCGAAACACCATACACTTAGTGGGCCCCCTTTCAACTTTAACTTCAAAATAATTGTATTATTACATATTAACGACTTTATATTATTGTATAATTTTTCACTATGCAAAAAATATAAAACTTTTAAGCCACCTTTAATTTAAAATTTACTTTAACCGGTATTAAATTCAATACCGACTCGAAAAAAATTGGATACCTGTATAATAATTAAAAACCGAAAATATAATTTAACAAACGGTATTTTGTTTTTGAAAATCTTTGTATCTTGACATTTTTGAAAGTTAACTTCGGCGATCGGACGCTCGATCCAGCGATTCAAAAAAATTAATAAGCTAAGTACGAACGTAAATAGTCCAGGTCTTGAAACCGATTTTAGAAACCGGTATAAACCGTTTAAAAACTGAAACCGATGACAAAATCAAAAACAAAATCGGAAAAAATTGGAAATCGGTATTAAATCCAAAACCAAAACCGAAAAAAATTGGAAACCAGTGTATAAATCGAAACCAAAACAGAAATTTTTTCAATCGGTTTCAAGCCATTTAAAAGTGATAATTGATAACCCAAAATGTATATTTTCTCCTTATTGCATTTATGCTTCCATTAATTTAGAGAACACTTTTATTTTAAAATTAACACTTCCATTTATTCCTAATAAAAAGTCAACCATTATAATAAAATAAACAAATTATAATTTAGATTACAGCCTTTTAGCCTTTTTTTTACAACAATTTAATAAAATACATTATATATATAAATATATTATATGGAAATATGTAATATATTACTTATTAACTATGTAAGCTCGAAAGTTTAGTATAATGTGCGTTAATACTTTTAACTGAAATACCTAATTTACAAGAGCTAAATATTTTTTTCTTATAACTACCTGGTAGTTAATAGTTAAATCAGTAATCGAAAATACTCAGAAAAAAAAACATAATGAAAATTGTGTTTACCAACACAGTTCATTATTTATAGTAATTTTTCATGATATAAAATTGAGAACAATTTTATTTTATAATTATTATTTATTAAGTAATAATAATTTATCTACTACCTATACCTATACCTACTTCAATATATGTATATATATTTTTTTAAATGTATTGGAAGCGTTAAAAAAATATATTTTGGCGATAAAGATGGGCCCCGTTACCGTGCCACCCTTGCCCCCCTTAATCCGGGCTTGTGTGTTAGCTTGTATTTTAGAGTGGACTACTGGAGCAATGAATATTTTGATTTTACAATGATTTGTATATGATTCTCGTATAACGATTTTCTTATTTTGTTGTTATTCATCAACTATTAACCGTCGGTATTTAAAATGTCCATCAAATGTTTAAACTATCATAATATACATTATACAATGTTCAAAATATTT